CAGAACTGGCTTTGACAAGCACTGTGGCAATTGGACAATTAAAACAGACATTCGCAGGGCAGGGGAAGAAGAACAAATTGGGGAAGAGGGTAGAGAGGATGGTGCAGCAATGAAGGAATGAAAACCCAAAATTCCTGTAATGTTCATTAATACTAATAAAATAAAAAAAAAACCACAATCGCTCTAAACCACGCTCTATCCTGTGGTAATCTCACTGTCTCCATCACACCCAACCACATGATTCCTGTCACTGAATCAATCCATTTAATCGAGGGTCTTCCTTTCCAGCTCCGTTCCTCCATCCACTCAAGCATGACATCCCTGTCCAAGGATTGGTTCCTCCATGTCCAAAGTATGTCAGAAAGGTTCAGAATCCTTGCCTCCTAAGAGGAGCCTGTTTCACCCTCTCCAGGACAAACTTCTTCATTCTCTTAGCAGTCCATGGTATATTCAATACGATTCTCCAACACCACAGGTTAAAGGCATAAATTCTCCTTCTATCATTCCTACTCATTGTTCTGCTTTCTGATTCATAGCAAGTGCATGGTCTTAGTCTCCAGATTTACATCATTGCTTATCAGTACTTTGGAGAGGTCTCTGACAGTCAACTTTCCCAATGCTATTCATCTTCTCATTTCCTGGCTGCTGGCACCAAGATTGTGGAGCCAAGTAAACTAAAGCTGTTAACAATCTCAATTTCTTTGCCGTCTATCATGATGCTGCCAATTGGCTGAGTGGTAAGAATCTTTGTTTTCTTTATATTGAGCTTCAATACATGTTGAAGGTTGCAGTCCCTGACCTTCTGCAGCAAGTGCTTCAGGTCTTACCCAGTGAAAACAACAGAAGCAAGACACAGTTTTACACCCAACACTTTAATTCTGAAAAGGCAGTTTCTAAAGGAGATACATTGGTGGGAAAACAAGATAAATCATTCTCTTCTGATTTTATTTAACTTATGATTAAACATTGCAATTCTCACTACCTTGAATGTTATGATTTTGTCAAAACCAGGAATGAGAATGTGGTTATTATCAGAATTGTTGTTTTAGATTTGACATATGGTCAGATTCTTGGACTCATTGGGCCAAAGCCGGAAAAAAGGTCTTAAGGACCCATAAAAGGAGCACTGATCAAATGTGTATATGTGGGAGTTATTTGCCATATTATAGAATGAAATACGTCTATCCTCATATTCTAGGAAAATACATATTCTGTCCGGTTTACTTTTTCTCATAATTGCTGTTTCTGGAGAGCTGAGTGCCCAGAACTCATTATTATGAAATCTGATGGCCCAGAACCCATTCTGAGGTGTTACGACAATCTTCCCCTTCCTTATTACATTATCTCTACAGATTCCCAAGTCCCAGGCTTTTATATTCCCAACTTCCACCTCCCAGTAGCATCTCCCTGAGGTGATGGCCTGCTGACCCAGAACACAGGGAAGAGAAGAAAATCTCTGTGGGTTATCAGGTAGATCTTGACTCTCCTTTCTCCAGGTTACACTTCTCTCTTCAGTCAACATAAGGTTAGGATGGGCTGTGTCTGGATCCAGTGTCACATCCACTGAAAAGATAATGATATTTTTAACCTTAAAAAGATAAAATTACTATGATCATTGACGTCTATATTATTTAGAAATAATTTAGAACTTCTGGGAGATATTTATGTTCTCACACTAAGTCTGTCATCTTCTGTCATATTATTGTATAAGGCACACCTAAATTACAATGTTTAAATCTTCAAGACCTGTGCGTATGTTAACATAGATGGGAAAAGGAATTCTATATATATGAATACATGAACAATTTTGAGATAACAAGATTTTCCCAGATTGTTCATATCAAGTCAGTGTAATCAAAAGTGTCTTTATAAGAGGAATATAAGAGGACTCAGGTTAGAAAGAGGAGATATGATAAGAGAAGAACTGGAGTGATTCTCTTTAAAAATTAATGGAGAGGATCACAAGGAAATGTTTGAAGAAGTTTTTCTAGTCACTGTAATAAGGAAGGAAATATATTTTCTCTGTGGAGAAGCCCTTGGAGATAGGGGAGAAGGAATTGGGAAAGATACAATGGGGACCTGAAAATATGAAGTAATAACAGGTGATGATTAATTTTATTAAATACAATGTGTATGAGGGATTGTATGAAACACAATATAAATGAAGGAATATGTTAAATACAAAGTGAAACACAGTGTATACAAATTTTGTATGAAAACCATTATAAAATTTAAAATATCATTTTCTTATTAAGAAAAAAGAATTTTATCCTCGATTTTTATTTTTTACCTAAAGATTGATTATAAAATAAATTTCAGTTGTTTGGTGTTTCTAAGTTTATAATCATTTGATTCAGCAGCAGTTGTAATACTTCTGTCATTCTCTAACAATTTTTTCTGTAACTGAGAAGGAATCCCATTATAAGGAATCCCATTCAGGTTAGCAGAAAGTGACTCACCAGCCTTGAAGTAGTTTTTCTTCCAGTCTAAAAAACAAAAGCAAAAGAAAACAACTCTTAAGTTACATCAACAATTTCAAACAAACATTTTCATGTCCAGGGAGACTTTTTAATTTGTTTTTACAGAGGAAATTGATTTTTCATTCAAATATCCCTACATATTTTGCTTCATTAACTAAAATATCTACATTGTATTGTCATCCTAATGCTCTTTCCCTGGAGTTCTTTCTTCCATTAATCCTCAAGCCTCTTCCTCCATACCTTCTGAGTTTTATACTTGGATAAATGTTACTTTGTGATTCTGGATAGATGATTATTTTAAAAATTCAATATTTCCCTGATTCATCTTTGGAACCCTTCTATAAGTTTGTCTGAAAGTTGTGCCACAGTGATGAGTTCAGTTCCAGTTTAAACATTTTTAAATTATTTTTAAATTTTTTTACAATCCCACCAAATATATATGAGTTCCTTTCTCACCACACCCTCTCCAACATTTATTACATGCTGCCCTGTTAAACTTTGCCACTGTAACTGGAGTGAGATTGTAATTCATTGTGGTTTTGATTTGCATCTCTCTTATAGAGAGTGATTTGGAGCATTTCTTCATGTGTCTGTTTGCCATTCTAATATCTTCCTCTGTGAATATTCATTCCATATCTTCTGTCTATTTTATAATTGGGTTATCAGTCTTTTTCTTGTGGAGGCCCAGGAGTATTCTGTAAACTTGTTATAGGACTCTTGTCTGAGATGATATTACCAAATGTTTGTTCCCAGTCTGTAGCTTTTCTGGTCACCCTTTTGGAAAATTTTTTTTATGTGCACAGAGATTTAATCTTTAGAAGGTCCCATGCATCAATTTTATCCTCATCATATTGTGCGTTTCTGGTTGTATTTGGCAGTCTCTTTATAGCTTGGCAGTTTGGAGCTTCCTCAAAAAGCTGAACATAGATATTCCATATGAACCAGCTATTCCACTACTTGGAATACACTCTGAGAAAATGAGAAGTGAGGCACACATGGATATTTGTACACCAGTGTTCATAGCAGCATTATTCACCATATCAAGAACATAAAACAGTCCAAAGGTCCAACCACAAAGGAATGGATTGAGAGATTATGGTACAATGGAATACTATGTAGCATGCAGGAGCAATGACTTTGTAAACTTTTACCTAACTTGGGAGGAGTGGACAGCATTATGCTGAATTAACTAACTCAGTCCCCCCAAGGATAAAATTGTATAAAATCATTACTGTAGAATGAGTATAAGGATCCAAGAAGGGTGGGAAAAGCTAGAAATAGAGGGATGAGGATGTGCAGGGGAGGGGAGATTAATCATGGGGTTGTACGATCTGATGGGGTAGAGTGAGGGAAATTTAAAGAATTTGTTCTTAAAAACAGTGTATTCAAATTTTGTAAATAAACTAGTAGAAAATTTTAAAAAAAGATGGCTAAAAACCATAGACTTAGGGTTTCCATCAGCCTCTGTCAAACAACTAAGTTTGTCCATTATTGTGATTCTCTGTGTATATTTGTGTATGTGTGAAGACTTTGTGTTACATACACTTTGTGTTCCATTCACATTGTGTTTCATACAATCATTCCCATACATCCTATGTTATAAAATTAATCATCATTGATTGATGTCAACTATTACTTTGTCTCTTCATAAGCAACTAAATCTTTACTAATTCCTTTACTCTTTCCTTCTACTGACCAAATTCTGTTCTGTGACCCTGTGGTGCACGCACACACACACACACACACACACACACACACCTTTTCTTCCATACATATCTTACTAGTCATCTTTCTATATTTATAATAATGTACTTTTGTAGTATTTGTCCTTATGAGACTGAGTTGGTTCACTAGCACAATGTTCTCTAGTTTCTACATGCTACAGTTTGTTTGTTGGATTTTTTAAAAAATTAAAAATATTTATTTTGTACTGGTTTACTTACAAAGTTTATATACATTGATTTTCACACTGGATCTTTACGATTTTCTTTACTCACCACTGCCTCCACCCTTCAGATTGTGCAACTTTGTGATTAACTCCCACCATCCCACTACTGATTATCACCCCTCTACCACCATCCTCCTCACCAACTTGGATCCTCATATATGCATTACTGTAATATTCTTATTCAGTATCTTCCTTATAGGATCGAGTTAATTCACTTAGCATAACGCTTTCTAGTCCTTCTCAAGTTAAATAGTGATTTACTAAATTATTGCTTCTGTGTGCTATGAAGTATTTCACTGTGTGAAATTCCATTACAATTTCTTAATCTATTCAATTGTGGTTGGACAATTGGGCTGTTTTCATGTTCTACTGATAGTGAATAACACTGCTATGAGCATTGGTTTACAAGTCTCTATTATTTTCTCGAGGTGATCCATGCAATGGAATAGCTGGATCATGTGAAATTTCCATGTTCAGCTTTTTGAAGAAATGCCACACTGTCTTCCAGGGCAGTTGTACCATTTTACAATCCCACAAATAGTGTGTAAGAGTTCCTATCTTGGCACATTCTTTCAGCATTTATTGCTTGCTGCCCTGCTAACCTTTGTCAATGCTACTGGAGTAAGATGGTATCTTGATTTTGATAATTTCTGCGTGTGTCTGAAGACTATCTGAATATCTTCCTTTGTGAAAATTATTTCCATGACTTTTGAACATTCTGTAATTGTGTTATCAGTCTTTTTTGCTTTTTAGGCCCTGTAGGAATCTGTTAACTTTTGATATGAGAACCTTCTCTGAAATAGTACTGCTAAGTGTTTTGTTTTTTCCCCCCCAGTCAGTAGGTTTTCTTTTTGCTCTTTTGTAAAAAAGGGTTTTTATCTGCTCAGGGATTTAATCTTTAGAAAATCCCATTCATCAATTTTATCCTCTTCAGATTGTGCATATCTGGCTTTATTTGTCCCTTTATATCATGGACTAGCTGTCTAAGCTTGATCTCAGTTTGTCTTTTATGAACTTTATGGTTTGGGGCTTTAATCCTAGGTCTCTGATTCACCTTGAGTTGAGAGTTGTGTATGGTGTGAAATGTGTATCATGTTTCAAGTTTGTTCAGGTAGCAGTCCATTTTGCCACTACCATTTGTTGAAGAGGTTGTCATTTCCCCATTTAATAGGTTTTATTTTCTTGTTGAATATCAGTTGACCATAGACAGCTGGGTCCATTTCTGGGTTTTCAATTTTGTTCCACTGGTTTTTGTGCCTGTCACTGTACCAGTATCATGTTGTTTTGGTTACTACACTGTGTAGTAGGTTTTGAGGTCAGGGAATGCTATACCTCCCACTTCATTTTTTGTTTTTCAGAAGTGCTAATATATTTGAGGTCTCTTTCCTCTCAAATTAACTTGACAATTTCCCTTTTGATCTCCTTTAAAAAGAATTTGATGTCTGTATTGGGATTGTGTGCCTAACCCAAGCCATGGTCTTCACAGTTATTTGTTATGCATCAGAGAGCTGGACGATGACTAAGGATGACAGAAAAAGAATATATGCACTTGAATTGTGGTGCTGGAGAAGAGTCTTGAGCATACTAAGAGAACAAATGGGTCTGTCTTGTAGACAGTGAAAACAAGTTTCTCCTTGGAGGCTAGGATTTTTAAGCTCTGTGTCACACACTTTGATAGCAGTAAGGACTGGTCCTTGGAAAAGGACATCATGTTTTGAAGGGCTGAGGGATGATCGTGCAGGAGAGGAACACATGGGATGAGATGGATTGATACAGTAACAGAAGAAATGGGGTTGGTGTGTCAGAATCAGTGAGATTGGCTCAGGACAGGGCAGACCTCAGAACTGCTGTACATGGGGTCTCTACGGCTCACAGGTAACTCAACAGCACATCACAACAACAGCAACAACAACATTGAGATTGAGTTAAACATGTAGATTACTTTTGGTAGGATTGTCATTTTCACAATATGGAGTCTTCCTATCAATGAACAGGACATGCTTTTCCCATTATTTTTTCTTTCTTAGGTCTTTTATTGTGTCTTTGAGAAATGTTCCTTGTTCAGTTCTTTTGTGTTTCTAGATAGGTTAACTCCTAAGTATCTCAATTTGTGATTGACTACTGTAAATGATTTTGCTTTCCTGGATTCCTTCTCTGAGTTCTCTTTGTTACTGTAAAGAAATCCTATTGACTTTTGTATATTGATCTTACATCCTGCCACTCTACTGAATTGGTCTAATAGCTCTAACAGTTGTTGTTGGGGTTTTGTTGTTGTTTATTTTTTTTTTTTTAGTCCTTGAGGCTTTCTGTGTAGACTACAATATAATCTGCATATAGCAATAGTTTAACCATTTGTTTGTTGATCTGGATGTCTTTTATTTCATACTCTTGTCAAATTGCCCTAGCAAGGACTTCCAATAAGATATAGAAGTGATTACAGTGGGCATCCTTCTGTGGTTCCTGTTTGCAAGGAAAATGCTTTTAGTCTTTCTCCATTAAAAATTACATTGTCTCTTGGTTTTACATATATATTCACTATTTTGAGGAAATTCTCTTCCATTCCAATTTTTCTGAGTGTCTTTATCAGAAAGTTGTGTTGGATTTTGTCAAAGGCCTTTTCTGCATCAATTGCTTAGATCATATGGTTCTTGGTATTTGCTTTGTTTATGTGGTGAATTAAATTGATTGTTTCTATTTTAAACCATCCTTTCATTCCTTAATGAATCCTAAGTGGTGATGATTTGTGTGTGTATGTGTGTGCCTTGGCTTCTATTGGCTAGGATTTTATTAAGAATCTTTGCTTCTAGATTCATAAAAAAATATTGATCTGTATAGTTTTGGGGTTTTATTTGTTGTTGTTGTTGGCTTTGGTATTAGGGTTATGCTTGCTTCATAGAATTTCTCTGGGAGTGATAATTCTTTAATTGGTTTTTTTTTGGTTGTTGTTGTTGTTTTTAAATAATTAGAACTGGTGATAGATCTTCTCTGAGAGTTTAGTAGAATTCAGCTGTGAAGAAATCTGATCCAGTACTTTTCTTATGGGGAAATCTTTTTCTAA